AAAAAATCTTGCTGAGAAAGTAGAATGATTTGAATATATAACTTAATTGAAAATTTTGTGAAGTTTTTGGGATTAAAGTGTAACTTTTCAAAACTACATGTGCCACACAATTGGTGTCACGTAAGCATGTTATGGGATTCCGTTAAAAAAGCTAACAACAGTTTTTTAGGTAGATGAATTTGAAATGATTTTCAAAGTTTATAGATGATTTTGAAAGAAACTAAACTTTCTAGGCTAAAATGAAAAAAGAGTAATAGTTAGTAGATGAAAAATTAAATTTAGCCTAGTATAATGTGTAATACTTGTGTATAAGTGGATCTCTACTATTTTTTCAAATCAAGTTAATCCTTCACATACTTGTTAAATTAGTTATATCTCTATATAATTTAAAACAAACTAGTGAGTAATAAGTAATGTGAAAACCTTTACTTTAAGAAGAGAGAGAGCTCCTAACTCTCTTATCTTCCTTCACTACCTATATTGTTATTGGTTTGTCATGTAATTCTTTTTCGAGTTCATGCATATATTAAGAAATCATCAACAAGTGATCAAGTTTTTGAAGCATTAAGTTCAACAATAAAAACTCATCATAGACCCAACAACCTGTCATAACTCGATTTTTCATTCGGCTTATTTAAGCTTTTCATATAAAAAGAAAAAAAACAAAAAAAATATATATATTAATCACAAAAATTAATTAAAAAAATCAAAAAAAAATCAAAAATTATGAAAATATGACAATCTCTCTTTTCTTTAACTAGTACATCTTCATTTTTCTTTCAGGTGCAAAAAGGGGAAATTCAAGAAGGAAATGGGAAAGGAAACTCGAGAAAGGACTCAATTGAAGAAATCAAAAGGTGGAGGGGTGAAGTTCATCAAAATGAATTTACAAGTCCAACCCAATTATCTAAAAAAAACCCAAACCCAAAACCCAAAACCAAGCTCAAATCCAAAACTCAAACCCAATTACCCAAAACCCAAAGCCTACCAACTACCCAAGCCCAAAAATCCAAAAAAACCAACAATTACCCAAACCCAAGCCCAAATACCAAACCCATTTAACCCAAAAAAAAAAAAAAAAGATTAAATCTTTTTTTTCTCTAGAACCTCTTTCTTCCATTTTTCTTTTACTTTTCTCTCTCCTGAATCAGCCCCCCCTGCACAGCCCAGATCCTCTGCATCGCGCCCAACTCCTCTGCACCGAGCCATCATCGCCCCCTCGCACGCCCAGCCTAGCTGCACTAGCCCTGCACCTACGCCCGAGCCTGGCACCTACGCCCCTGCTCCCTGCTCTGCGCCCAGATCGCCTGCACCTTCCTCTGCCCCAGCCTGCACTCTGCTGCGCCCGGCCTTGCTTCCTGCACCAGCTTTGCTCTGCACTAGCTCCTGCACTCTGCGCACCGGCAATCATGCCTCCTGCACGCCTACGTGCCCTACCCCCTGCGCGCCTGCACCTTCCTCTGCCCGAGGCCAGATCTGCACTCATCACCCCTCCTCTACCCGAGCCGATCTGCACTCATCACCTATGCCCCAATCGTGCAATCCCCGGCTGGAACACAATCCTGCAACCCGATCTTGTACCTGCTCTGGTTGTCCGATTCTCCTTGGCACCTTGTCTCGTTTTTGAATAAGATAAAGCTCGGTCGTTGATGGGTATAAATAGAGGGTTTTGGTTAGAACCAGGGGGGGATTTTGCTTGTCTTTGAAGGTGGTGTGGTGTTGACGAAGGAGAACATTTTTTGGAGGTTGACGACGATTGAAGAAGAGGCTTATTTTCCTGTGTCTGTTGCTTGCTTTAGGTAATTTCTGAACAGAGGAGCCTTCTGGGAACGATGGTGAAGGAGACGATAGGAGCCTGGTCCCGTGGGTGGGATCCCTCCCATCTGATCTGGATCCATCTTACCCAAAAAGCTCTGCCGTGGATGTTTTTTTTCTTATTTTGTTGATGTTTCTGCATCTTTTTGTTTAACGTTCAAGCTTGTACATGTTCTGTTTGAAAATCAATGAAAATGAAAAATCAAAAAAATTGTTCAGTTTATTTTCTGATGAATGTGTTGCTGTTATTGGAAATTACATGAATCCTAGTTCTCTCGCTTTGGTTGCATGTTTGATCTTCTTTTTAT